TGGCCAACATGTGCACCGAGTTCTGGATCCTTCCACGCACGGCCTCAATCGCTCGAAGGTTTCGAGGCTGGTGAGGGGTACCACCAGGCAGCCACAAAAGCGGGTGAGGGACGCAAGCTGCGGCCCCCCCACGTGCACATAGCGGCGGGGGTGGCCGGGGCGATGCACGACACGTTCGGGGGCGAGGGGGCCGAGGGAGAAGCCGAGAAGGCACTCGCGCCGTGGATGGAAGCAGCAGGTCCAGAGGAGCACGGGAAAGCATGCGTGGACGAGTTTTTTTCCGGATGTTCCGACTGCGGGAGTGTTAAAGCATACGTTGACCGAGGATGGAGCCAAAGAAGCGGCCGCTCAATTTGTCATGGAACACACCAGCTATCGCCCGGAGGCAAATGACCCTGAAAGGCTACGACTATCGGGCGAAGTAACGCATGAAATCCCAGAACATGTGCGCAGCACAATTGATTGGAGCTGGAAGGTCCTTGTTCCAGCACTGGAGTTGGGCCATCGCATTATTCGTGTGATTGCGATTGTTCGCGAGATCATTAGTTGCTTCGTCGCAGAGGGACATTGCATTGTATACCCTGGGGCTCGCTTTCTTACCCAAGGCACCGGCGTAGGTTACGGTGACGACAAGCGTCGAAAGGACGCATACGCCCCTGATTGCCGCATTCGTGTGGCGATTGAGACAGGCGACCCTATTGAGGAATGGGCCCGTAAATTGGGTAAACAGGCTCGTGCCGATATCCGTTGTCAGGGCATGAAGTTAGAAGAAGCTATTTATTGGCTGTACCCACATGTGGAAGCCACTGAGCTTCAAGACAAAGATGAAGGCCACCTTCGTGGTGCCTGCGGCAAGTTTGGTATTCTTGTTGCCACTGCCGCAAGGGATATTATGTAATTCGCCAGAAAGCGAGTGATGACTATTCGCGAGAGAGGAGGCGCTGATGGGCCCCCGGACGGCCAAGCCGATACGGAGGGGCCCGCCTTGGCGAAAGCGAGGCCCAGGCCGCCACCTCCTCCGCGCAGACCCGACGTCCAAGACGATCGGGCTAACGATGAAGTCACGGAATCTCCGTGCTCTGCCGGCGGTCAAACCGCTGCGGCAGGAGTTGAGTATTCATGGTATTCGTCTGACAGGGACACGCGGGATTGGTCGAGGCCCACGCGCGCGCGCGGCGGAGCCATGGATGTCGGGCGCGGTGCTGCCGGCTACGACCCCTTGAAGCACTGCCCGCACTACGCCAATGATGTGCTGGGTGGATACTGGGTTCACCGGGACGTGATATCCTGGATGAGCCCGAGGGGCAACCAGTCACGCGTGTGGCATGCGGTGCGCATGAATGATTACAACTATTAGTTTCCGAGGAAAGGAAAGGACTCCAAGAACAAAGACAAGCGCAACAGGTCAGCGCCTTACGCTGGCCGCGGCAAAGGATTCAGATCCCGGTCGCCCCATTGGGCCGCGGGTCAGACGGGAGGTTCGTCATCTTCATATCCGAGACCTCCGTCTCCGCCATCGCGGGGATATCTCTAGAACAAGATCTGAGAGAAGGCCGAGCCCGCGCGACCAAATCGCTGCAGGCTCAACCGATCGACAAAGTCGTATCGACAGAGAGAATGTATTTAACTATTGGTGGGAATCGTCGGGTTTCTTCGGCCCTCAGCTCCCTGGCAGCCACCGTCGAGCGGTAAAAGTTTGCGCGGTTCGCTCTGGTGGTTGTATATATGTACAGGCCAGGCGAGCTGTGGCTGGATGGGCCCTACGAAGCCCGCCGCGGGGGGAGTAAATATGCTCCTCTCCGCCTCATCTTACACTTGCCTCTCTCGCTGCCTTCCTTGCCACACCCTGACACTGCGGCTTTGTACCGCAGCTGTTTGTGCTTACAGGAAATAAAAGGAGCGTGTTGGCTCGCACGCGCGCGCCGAGGGGTCGCTCCCTCGTCGTAGTCGTGTCGTCGGCCGGCCGGCCTCCTCCCTTGCAACTCCTGAGTGCAGTTGCTTGACGGTTACTTATAGTTTCATCGATGTCTCATCCCGTACCCTCTACTACTGAGCAGAGTCAACACGAGACCTTGATTCCTTTGTCATTTTACTCCGATTCTCAGAGGAAAGACTCGGGTAGCTGCTACCAGCTGCTGTGCGCGTTGTTCATGGGATGCTTTCTCGCGATGGCGCCGATGTGCACTCGCAGGGGTTGGGTGACGGATCCCTTGACATCCGATGCTGTGAAAACGTAGGCTCGTATCTTGCAGGACGGTCGCCTCTCCGACGCGGTCATGCGGGTATTGTTTTCTTTGGGATTTGCCGCGGCAGCAAACCCGAAGCCTTGGGCTTTGTCCCATCGGCGCCATCATTATCACTTATGCCAGGGCCGGCTTGATTTTTTCAGATCCTTGGAGGCTCAGGGAAGCCTCGGGTCAGGAATGGGGCCTCCTTTCGGTCTCCCTTGGGTTGTTCGCCAGGCGGGCAAGGTTCGTTGCGCGTCGCAGCTCCGACGAGGCCGCCCTTGCCAACATCGGGCCAGGGCAAGCTTGGCGAGGCGAGATTTTCGGGCGGCCGCTTCAAGGAACTCCTTCATCGGAGAGTCGAGGACTCGGGCGAGGCGCGGACGGGGGGGACCTGGGGATCCAGAGAGCAGCGCACTCTGAGGGGCCTTGTCATGTGCTCTCGCTGCTGCCAATACCGCTTGCGTTTGCACGACCAGCAGCTGTCGACTCAGCCCTTGTTTTGCGGAGAGCGGGGCACGTTTTTTCGCAGGCCCGTCGCTTGCCCTGCTCGCTAGGCCTGGCGACGTGACAACCTCCCGTCGGAGGTCGCGGCCGCCGCTGGTCGCTTGTCCCAGTTTTCGGTCGTGCTCCAGGAGAGGCTTGCGCGAGGCATCCTTCCTGATCCCTGTCAGCTCCTCGCCGGGAAACTTTTTGGGATCTTTCCACGGAATTCAGGGTTGAAGGAGCGGGTGCGCCGCTCATGCTCCAAGGTGGCAATGTTTTTTTCGATGGCTCAGGTGTGGATGGCCTGTTACCCTCGCTTCGCGTGGCTGGATGGGGCACTGCTGTCTATGACCATGAACGCCAATGGGTTGCGGGATGGTACGGCTCGGTCCCCCTTACCTCTTGCCCCGATCAGGTGGCCAGGGACGGCAAGGACTACGCTGTCTTCGTGGCCTCGAATTGTTTAGGTGGAAGTTACACTTTGTACTTGGACTGCCGGGGCGCCTTGCAGTGTTGCCGCGATCGCGCGCATGCCTGCCGAGCCGCCAACATCCGTGCCCACTTGTGGGGCCAGATTTGTGAGGACGATGTCTTCTCTGGAGCCACGCTTAAACAGGTGATGGCCCACGCCTCGATGGGGGATGTGCGGGAGGGGCGGTTGTCGGAGTTTGAGCGGGCGGGAGATCACGGAGTGGACCGCCTTGCAAAGCAGGGGGCCGCCCTAAGTCGCTACGATCCGCAGGATACCCTGCTGGCGAAGGGAATGTTATTTCTTGCTCGCCTGACTTTGAAGTTCATCACCTGGTCGGAAGTTGTTTGCAGCGACGGAGGCAGCTTCGACAACCTCAATGTCGGAGCTCAGGGCTTCAGTTTGATTTCGCTTGGGGGAGATGCTGGTTGGGATGAGGCACTGGAGGCGGCTCGGCGTGTGGAGGCTGCCGCTGCTGCTGCTTTTTCTGCTCCTCCCTCTGGGCCTCCCCCTCCTGTGCCCGCGCCTGCGTCTTCGTCTTCCTCCCCGCAGGTGGACGATGAGTCTAGGGTGCAAGTTTCCTGTTTTGTCGGACGGGGCCCCGCCGCTTCTGTTTTGCTCCACGTGTGGTGGCTACGCCACAGCCTCCCAAGCAGCCAGAGGTTTGAAAGGCCCTTACCTGGGGTCGCAGGTGGCCCTTGTCGGGGCCGGCCGCAAAAACAAATTCAGCATCTGTCGGTTGAGGCATCCCCACCGACTCTTCAGGTTGGGCCCAGGGTGCACCCCGGGGGGGCCAGGTGTGGGAGCTGTTCGCGGGGAGGTGCGTGGAAAGCGGTGTTTGGGCCCAGCCTGGAGGAGGGAGGAGCGAACTTGCTCCGCGGTTTTTCAATCGGAATGACTTGTGCCTGTCCGATTGCCTCCAGGCTTTCGGCTTGAACGAAGGGGGGGCACGGAGCCTCGGCAGCAAGCTTTGCGTCAAGCAGCAGGCCAATGGCCTGCTAGCAGGGGACGAAGACGAGTTGTTGTTCCTTATGGGGGGCCCTGTCGTTGGCCCCCGGCAGGGTTTGGCCCCCTGCGAGGGTGTCAGAAAAGGTCCTCGCTGATGGGCCTCCCCCGGGGGCAGTTTGGACTTGTCGGACCCTTTCTCTCTCTCTCTCTCTTTCCCCTCAGTGCGATCCTCCTCCTCCTCCTCCCTCCTTCCTCCTCCCTCCTCCTCCTCCTCATCCTCCTCCTCCTCTTCCTCCCTCCTCCTCCTCCCTCCTCCTCCTCCTCGCCTTCCTCCTCCTCCTCCTCCTCCTCCTCCTCCTCCTCCCTCCAATCCTCCTCCTCCTCCTCCTCGCCTTCCTCCTCCTCCTCCTCCTCTTCTCCTCCTCCTCCTCCTCCTCCTCCTCCTCCTCTTCCTCCCCCCTCCTCCTTAGCACGGCTAGCGCACGGTAGCCCATGGGACATTATTCCCTGGGAGGAAAAAAAAGGCCCAAACATTATCCAGTTCGCACAACAATAGAGGGACAATAATCCCCGCCGCGATTAGGAGGTTTTAGGACCAGTGTTCTTTGTTATTTTCCGCCGAGCGATCACGAGGGGCAGTCAACACTAAAAACGTCAGTGGGTCATGGACATCCCGACGCCTGGAACTTCCTAGATACAGAGCGCGCGGAACGCGCGCGAATGTGTCTAGTACGTATACAGATGTGTGAATATTTATATTTATATACATATATATATATATATATATATATATATATATATATAGCTGTCTATACATTGATCATGGGCTTGGGATCGACCCGGCAGCCGGCGTCCCCTGGCACATGTCCGAGTTCGTGGTGTTGCCGAACGGCGTGGATCGCCTGGGCCTGCGCGAGGAGGCCTCGCTGCCCAGGGACCTCCATGCGGCCCTGTCCGGGGTGCGCCGCACGGAGGATTTCCTCAGGCGGCTGGCCGGGGAGGATATCGGCCACGCGCAGAGGGGGGTGCCCCGAGCCCCTCGGGCCATGGAAAATTTCAAGACGGGAGGTGTTGCGCTATTTTCGGCCTCGAGGGGGCCCTTCCTGGGCCCCAGGACCGTATAAAAAACCATTCAGAACGAGAAACCAGTCCAAGAGTCCAGAATTCTGGGAGTCGACGTCATGAAAGGCATGACGTCGGGGGTCTGGGTATGGGGAGGTGGAAGGCTTGAGGCGGCTTCTTAGAGGGCGCGGGCCTTATTTATGGATGCAGGGCCGGCGCCTTCTGCGAAGCAGCCTCTTTCTAAGAAGCCGCCCCCTCTCCCCGTACCCCTTTTGCGCGCGCCGCCAAAGGACGCCATGCTAGAGAAGTACAAGGCCGGAGTCGAGTACGTTAGCATGGAGAAAGGCAGGGTGCAGGTGAGCGTGCTCCCGAAGGAGCGGCGCAACCTCCGGGGGCGCATCCGCGAGGTGCTCCGGCTGGTGGACGAGGGCAGGGCCGATGCGGAGATGCTCTACGTGGCGGAGATGCGGCTGATGCACGAGCAGCCGCACCCAGTCGGCGGCGAGAAAGTGAAGACGCTCTGCCAGAGGGACGTGAAGGATCGAGCAGTGGCGAAGCGTCCTGATTTGCCTACAGGCCCACCAAAAAAGTTCGAGAACATTTTGTGGTCTGCACGAAATGCTATTAGAGCATTTCTGGCTGAGACTGTCTTGTTTCAACGTATCAGGCTTATGTTCTAAGAATATGGTTTTTGTTCTTAGGGCATTTCTGGGTTCTTCTGGGTTCTAATAACATGTCGTGGTAGGCCTGTGGGAATGCTGGGACGGTCGGTCCCTGCTCAAAAGGATGTGCTGGGCCCATATGCGTCGTGGTCGTTGTACTGGGACCGCCACGATGAGGGGCTGTTCGTGGGCAACCCGAAGAGCGGCAAGGGACTCCACGTGGACCAGGTGCTGTGGAGCAACGTCGGGAAGAACTGGCGAGGCCACAAGCTGATTGCGGCGTGGCCGAAGGGCGAGGTCAGCAGCAGAATCGCCACGGAGTTCGACGATGTACTCTTCTTCCCACCCCTCGCCGAGCGGGAACTGGCGGCCCTGCGGGAGGCGGCCAAGGTCGTGCTCGTGCGGCCAGGCGACGTCTACCTATTGCGAAGGCAATACGGCCAATGCCGCCGACCCTGAATGACGACGACGACGACGACGACGACGACGACGACGACGACGACGACGACGACGACGAGCGCTCTCGGGTGCCTCTTGGGGGTAGTTTGAGGTCTTGGGGGAGTCTTGGGGGCCGCTTGGGAGCCTCGTGAGGGCCTCTTGGGGCTTTCTGGGGGTCTCTTGGGGGCCTCTTGAGGCCTCTTGGGGGGCTTCTTACGGGCCCCTGGGGGCCTCCTGGAAGCTTCTCAAGCCGAGGGCTCGAAAAGACCGTTCGGGTCCCTCGTCTGGGCTCCCTCTTGGAGCCGTCTTGGAGGCCTCTTCGGCTGTCTCGGAGGCCTCTTGAAGGCCTTTTGGGCCATCTTGAGGCGGTCTTGAGGGCGTCTTGGATCGTCGGGAAGCTGACAAGGCGATAATGCCGAAATCTTTCAAAACCTAGGGGAACTCTATGATTTTTGCCCCATTGAAGCCCTCTTCGAAGTCCTCTTGGAGGCCTCAGGCCTCTTGGGGCGTTTTGGAAACCTTTTGAGCCGTCTGGAGTCTATTTTGGCGACTTGACTTCAACCGAGTTGCAAGGGGAGGCTGTATAGCGAACGCTGTATCCGACGCTGTCTTGGCTCAAAGCAGCGCTGTCCTATTTGCTAGTTGCACGGCCGCGTGCGACTCTATTGGGATCATAGCATCGGATAGAAACCACGTCTATCTATGATTTGCTCTTCTATCCCATGGCTTCTCTCGTACCTCTCGCCACGCTTGCCATCAAGGGATGAGTTGTGGGATACCTTCATACGTCGCCGACGCTATCCTGAGAGTAGGGTTCCCAGCTTATTACCTCATGGTCAAGCCATGTACCCTTAATTTTCAGTTGGTAGCGGAGCTGGTTACATCTTCGTGTGGTTGGTTCTTACATCGGGTGTTATGCACGTATCCACATATCACGGCACAGTGGATTACCCGGCTGCGCCGGCTCTCAGCCACTACACCCCAATACTGTCGAATCAATTGGTAATTTACATTCTTATACCTCCATATCCCCACTGCGTGGCCACGGGCCGCGCTCAACCCAAACGCGATACTTATCCGCAAGCTGACGGCCACGTCAGACCAGACACCCAGTCGCAACCCAATGGACGCGACAATATCCACCGATAAGCATTTAACACCATCAGCTACAACATGAACGCGTACGACGTTAAGGTCACCATGTTTGGAACTATCAGGATGTGTCTGGGCTTTGCCGTGGCATGCATGCGAGGAGGAGGACTGGACGAAACGCACACTTGAGGTCCCTTTTGGGACCCCGCGGGCAGCGTACCTTTCGCGAGTTTGCTCGTGAAGTACATGCATGGCTTAACGTCACAAGTGGAAGCATGACTCCACCTCAACAGGCCGCAGCATTACAGCGCGGTTTGGGAGGATTGGTTAGGACACTAGCCATGAGGGCGCCGTCCACCATCGGCTATTATGGTGATACGTTGCAGGGGAAACGCACCAATGGAGTCACATACATCATGTGCTTACCAAAAAACAGATTTAAAGACCATGAGGATGAGCGATAGCTCGCCTCAGGGACAGCCCTCATCGACTTCAGGGTCGAAGAGGCGAAAGCATGGACCCAGTGTGGGCCCGGTTCGAGATGGCCAGGTTGGAAGCAGACTCAGCAGGCTTTTAAATCCCCAACTTCCAGATCCTTACGCTGATCTTATTTCGTGTCTTGGGGGTCGGGACCCCCCGAGCGGCACAGCAGCCGCTGCCGCCGAACCATCAGATGTTCCGTGCGCAACAACAGTGCGACCAACTCTTGGAGCGAATGCGCAGCCATGGGCACTTGGCCGAGCGTTCACCAGGCAACATCGGGAGAATCTTCAGCGGGCGCAGCGCTGGCACATACCACTCCGAGATAAGCGACGCACCGGCAGCCATGCCAACTAACATTTTGGAATGATGGGGAACCCGCTGAGTCCATGGCGTTTCGAGGCCAAGACGCCAACAATAACGACCAACAGGCTGCTGGTTCAAACGTGGGCTGGCCAACAGCGGCTGGCCACGCGCCACTTGGAACGACTACTCTCTGGTGCTCGCCCAGCCACCAATGCAACGATGTATTCGGCTCTGGCGCGGATGCCGACGCGGTCTCCTCCACCTGCGCCGAAAGCCTCAATTGGCCAGACCTACCCGCCAGTGATGATGCAGTTGCTCACTACCCATGCCTGGGATTTCATCGCGCAAGAATCAGGTGGAGGCGGTAGTTTATGAAGAAGCCTGTCAGGAGGCCCCGGCGAGCTGCGCGTCGCGTCTTCGGCCGCAAAGGAGAGGGTCGCGGCGAAGGTGGTAGACGCGCCGGCATGTTGCACTGCAAATGCATAGCCGCGTTCGTGGCTCGGTTCTCGGTTGACCGACTGCGACTTTGCAGAACTATTCCTTGGAGGCAAGGGCAGAGGCGAAGGTCGCAGGCGCACGGCGGGCAAGGGCAGCGGACGCAGGCTCAATCCAACGGGCAAGCACGGAAAACGAATGACGCGCAATGCATGCGGGAGCAACAAACACTTCCAAGCGCAGCGTTAAAGGTGGTGGAAAGGTGGGCGGATCCGCGCTCCTCGGGTCGGACCAGTCCGAAGCGGATATCATCGAATGCGTTGATTTCCCCGAACTCGACCACCCCCTTGCCTCTCATACCAGTTCGCCTTTGTCTTTCACGGCCCACTTTGCCAGCGCCCCCGCGTCTGTCGAGCGGTGCGCGGAGTGCCTTCGCGACGGGGTCAAAGAGATCCACGACGCCCCCATCGAGGATTGGGTCGGCACGCGCCGGCGCGGACGCGTGCAGGAAGAATTTGGATATGACGACGAGGGCGAGTACATGTCCGGTGCGGAGACCACACCTGCCACTGGCGCTGAAATAACTGAACAGCTCGGACACGAGTCGATACGCCCACGCCCGCTCCTAGCCACGACAGTATTTGGCCTCGCGGAGGAGGGGCGGGCCGCGGCGGGTTGGGGCCAGACCCACACCGACGCATTCATGATGCGGGGCAAGCCTGGCATGGCCCCCCGTCTGCTCCGGCGAACCTGACAAAGGCTAGAGTTGAAGCGGTCGCCGGGGCCGCAGCTCGACGGCCCGCCGCGCAGCAGGCGGTTCAGGTGGAGCTGGGAAATGCAGCCCGGACACGGGTGGCCCTGGCCGCGGACGCGGCCAATCTCGAGGCGTTGGTCATTCTAGGGAGAAAGGCTACGCCGATCCAGCCGATCCGCGCGCGGCTCGAGCTCCGGCGACAGAGGATGGGGAAAGGGTATGCCTCCTCAATAAAATGGCGCACCTCTTTCGCGCGACAGCCAGTGCCCCCGCATGAAGATCGATGGCGCTGATCTCATTTTTCCTCGAGCAGGGCTTTACAGGGGCCCGGATTCGCTTTTTTTTTTTATATTAAAAAGGGCATCCAAGCGTAAGGTTATTGATGAATTTAGGGGATGCCGCATTTGCCCGTGCCCAACTCACAGTCAACATCGTGGAACTTGCCATATTGACTGTCCATCACGTAGCCCAGATCATGGCAAGGCGCCCATGCATCCCGATCACGGTGATGGCATTAGCAGTAGTACTGTCGCGTCCATTGCAGACTACGTCTCGTTGTCCGACGACGAAATACAATAGACCCGAAAAATGAGAGTTAAATGAGACAGGACAGATCGTCGGCAGTTCTAGGGCTAACGTTCCTGCGTCCCATCTTGGATCGACTCGAGCAGCAGATGGAAGGCCGGGGATGGGGGGGGCAGTTCGCTGCGTCAACATTACTTGCCGGGTCAGCGGGCGGACGCGCTCAGGGGGCCCAAGAAGATGTGGCCCCCAAGGAGAAGCTGCGCACTGATCAAGAGGTGGTTCTCGCAGAATCCCCAGAATTCGATAACAAGAACAAGACTAATAAACCGGGTGTGCGCGGTTCCTCCGGGCGCGAAAGCAGTGTTAAGCAGAAGGCTGAGCGGTTTACGGGCGGCTCGATACCTATGCCCGATCAGCCGGTCACCAAGAGATCAGAGCAATCACGAAGGGATCCGGCATGTCGGGGTAGCTGGACACCGAAGCTATTGGCAGCCAGCCAGAGAGGTTCGAGCTCAACCACAGGCAGGGATCAGCCAAATCCCGACGCTCGATTTGGCCCGGCAGCGGTGAGAAAACTCAGGACCATAAGAGACTTGCCGCCGAAGATCTGGGGGGGGCGAAGCCAGGGCGCCAGCAATTTACCGCAGCCACTACCGGTAGGCAAATTGCCTCAGCCCGAGCCGGAAGGCCTCCAAGTGGAACCCTGCCAGCCTCAAGGAAAGAAGAAGACAGTGAAGTTGGGCAGCGCTGCGCAGTCAAAGTTCCAGGGTGGACCGCCTTCGGCAAAGTTCCACGGTGGGCCGCCTGCCGATGCATCCGCTGGGTCGTCGGCCGCGGCCTCGTCATCGGCCCGGCCGCCGCCGACTGCGCTGCTTGCGCCGAGGTCAGAGGCGACGCCCTCCAGGCAGGGCGGCAGCGACATCCCGGCGGGGGCGGGGGCGCCCATGGGTTCTCCAGGACGAGCAGGGGCGGACGCGTCCAACGGAGAGAACAACCTTGGCCCATCCGCGATGCCGACGCAGCATGCCGCCGTAACACCACAAGAAGAGTTACGCTGGAAGCTTCGTCTCGCGGGCTCTCTGACTCTCCAAGAGGAACAGCAACGGCTAGAAACCTTACTGGAGAGACAACAGTACAAGTACTGGCCTTTACCGAGCAAGCGGTAAATGACTGCTATGTCTGCGCGGTGGTCACAAACCTGCAGACATGGGCCATTTCGCGCAAATCAGTATTGCAGGCGATGCATCAGCGAATGCTGCTCCTGGGGCCCTTATGATGGATGGATAGATGTTAAGATTATCTGGCCAACCTCTGGGGCGGTCGTGACTGCGAGGCCGTCTCCACCTGGACGATAGGTCCACTGCCCGAATATGCGACGTCACAACTGCACATTGCCGAGAT